TTTAAAGCACAGAACAAGGAAAATAAAAAATTAAAAAGACTAATGAGAGCGCGTTAAAGTTGAAATTTCAAGCTTCAAAATGTTTTCTTTATATTTTGTCTATGACGATATACTGCTGAATATCGACATTATATGTAAAAAATGCTGGTTTATTTTCAAAATCGTATTTCTCGGTTAAAAAAAGCCATAAAAAAATTTTTAAAAAAACTTTTTGCAGGAAATATTTTGTAATTTATAAAAATTGAGTTGAATTTCTCGAGAAAAATTTTTTTATTAAATTGTAATGGGTTAAAAATACATAATTTTAAGAAACTAAACATTGTGTTCTATTTTAAAGCGCAGAATAAGGAAGATAAAAAAATTTTTAAAAAACCATCAACTGCGTGTTAAAGTTGAAACTTCAAGCTTCAAAATGCTTTTCTAATTTTTTATCTACGATAATTTTTCGACGAGTTTCAGAGGTTTAAAAATAAAATAGTAAAATTTTTAGGGAACACCTCTTGTAAACTACAAAAGTAGTTTACAAAAAGTGTTCTCTATTTTTTTTGGAGTAGCGTTTTAAAAAGTATGTTTTTGTACAAATTAGAAATAAAAATATGATTATTTTCTAAAAGAAATTAGATAACATTACCCAGACAGCACATAACGCTAAAAGATATCTTTAAGAACTCTTTCTTAAGACGTCTTTTAGAACTGCGAATAAGATCTCTTATAGACGTCAATTTGAAGAAATCTTTTTTCTGTCATCAGAAAGACTTCTTAATTCAGACTACAATTTGTTATCTCATTTATGACAAGTTTTAGATTGACTCATGACTTTCACTGAATTTACTGCTCCTACGCATGCGCGTCATATAATAGTAAAACGCTTTAGTGCAATCTAACCTATAATTAAAATTTAATTACAAGTAAGTTTTGATACCTATTATACTATAGTTTATTTAATTAATAATTGATAAATAATTAATAACTAATATTTATTGATATAAAAACTTGAGAAGATTTATTACATATTATTAATTTTTAAATAAGAGAATAAGTTATCTTTAATCGGAAAACCCTTCATTGGGTTATGTTATAGGGTTAACGTAACCAAGTGCAGTATTTGAAGGCTAAATAAGTGAAATATTATAATATATATATAAGTATATTATATACTTGGTTAATAATTATTACATATATATATATATATATATATATATATATATATATATATATCACAAAATGTTAATATAAATAAAAGCTGTTCTTTATTTATAATCTTTAAAACATTTATTGAATTTTACAGGTAAAGTGTGTTTTTGTACAAAAAATGTCCAAAAGGAAATCATTCAAGAACTTATCTAACAAGGAAAGGGTCGGAAGTGTCCCCCTCCGATTTTAATGAGCTTTGAATATGTTGTAGTCTAGATCAAAATAGGAGACACGTATTTTTTTATAAGTGCTGAGTCGGCCGTTAAGGGGGTGAAACACCTTCTTGAAAAAAATCGATTTTTTCATTTCTCAGCGGATACCGTCGAAGCGATAAGAGATATAAACAAAAGTTTCAAATAAAAGTTTTATGGTCTTTAATGTACTTCAAAATCATGTAATCAGATTTGTCGAAAATGTCATATTTTTCGAAATCCCCCCCCCTCCCTTTTAATGTTTGAAAATTTTTAAATTTGTCTCATAACAAAACTTATAGCTCATTTAACGACAAATTCAATCATATATAATAAAGTTGTATTCCGAAGTCACATTTTTCAGAAATAAATTAAAAATATTCCTATACACTACTATACGCCCGCTTTATCCGCCTTATGACGCTCGTTATTCACAGCGACAGTCATTTTTCTTCGCAAACTCACAGAGGCAACCATAAATTAGCAATAAATAATTTATGAGAATATATTTTTATAAATTATAGAAATTATATTTATAAATATAATTATAAATTATATAATAATTATAATTATAATATATGTCTATATTATGTGACAATAAATATACATATAATTTATATGGAAAAGTAATGTTTTTAATGCATGAAAAATAAAACTAGTCGGACAAGGAAAATTATTGATCAGATGCCGATGTTAATAGATTCAATTCTATGAATAAACAGATGTCGCATTCGCGAAATGAGTTGGTGCAATATATTATTTTATTAACAACTGCGTGCAGTGGAACACATATTACTATTAAAGCGTCTATCGAATATACGCGAGCGCGATAGTAAATATATTTATATATATAAGAAAATAATTAAAAGGATTATAACTTATAAAGCGAGCGAAAAAATGCGTCGCGATAAGAAAGTCAGCTGCCCGAAGTGCTGATACAGCCAGTATCACACGGCCAAGTCATCAAACAGAGGAAGAAATCACTCTCGAAATAGCGCTGAATTGCAATAAAATGCGAGGAAGTCTTCGGACTTCCTTCGCTTGCATTTTGATCACGCCACTTTAGAAATAACCAATGATTTTATTTGGTCATGCCACCGCGCGATCCTCCTCCGATAATCGTTCAGAACCGGAGGCGTTAAAAGCCACCGCCTAGAAGCGGCGGACAGTCACAAATCAGTTATCAAATAATTAACAAGTGCTCGAGTTAATTAACAAGACTAGCCGTTATCCTGAAAAAACAATTGTGCCCCACGCACACAACAATACAGTATGTATGTACTTTTTCGATTTTTAAAACTTTTATAGTTTTTTGCTTTTACTTACACTTCATTCAAAATTGCGGTTTATCTGTTTTGTTTTAATGTATTTAAATTATAATTAATATTTTATTACTTTATTTAAGTTATGTGATAAAACTGTTCTATTTTTCATGAAACTCGGAAAACGTAACAAATTATTAATACGCATTAAATAATAAAATATTTTTGTTGCTAATAAGTATTTTTTTGCTAATATTTATAAAATAAATATACATAATGTTAATAATTTTTTTAGATAATGTTTAATCCAAGAAATGTAGCAGTACTGCTATACACTGCACTGTATATGACTGGGGAATTCCCAGAAAGTCCTGTTACAACAGATGAAAATGAAACAAAAGACATGATGGAAAATATGCTTCGATCAATGTATGAAGAAGCGTTTGAAGTTTATGAAGAATCATCATTAGATTTTCAAAACGAATTTGATATACCTGAAGTAGAACCTGTAATTGATGAAGAAAGAGAAGAAGACACATATTTTGTAAAAGAAATTGAATGTGTTGCGGATTCTGTACCAATAGAATATAAAAGAAATGCAGTAGAGTTATGGAGAAGTGGAACAAAAAAGTCAAGAACTCTTGCATCTATAAGAAATAGATTTCGGAAAGTCACGTCATTACGTCAATTAAGAAGATGGGAGCAGCAAGTAAATCAAGGTGGCAACAGATTTGATAAACTGAAAGAAATTTCAACATATACGTTAAATAAATTCCATGAAGGTATTGAAAAGGGAATAATTATTCATGACATTGATATTGCTCGATGGGCTCTTCGCGCACAGAAGGAAGTAAATCTACTTGGGTTTACAGCATCATTATCATGGGTAAAAAGGTTTAAGCTTGCACATAATATCGTATCTAGAAAAATTACAAAATTTATAACAAAAAAAAATTTAGCGTCAGACAAAGATTTAGAAGCACGAAGCAAGTCATTTATCGAAAATGTTAAATCTTCTATTATACAATATGGAATTGAAAATGTATATAATTCGGACCAAAGTGGATTTCAATTAGAATTTCATTCCGGTCGTTCACTATCACCTATTGGTATTAAAAAAGTAGAGCGCATAGTACAATCCATATCAGCAACTACACATAGTTATACTATACAACCTATTGTTTCAGCTGATGGTAGATTATTATCGCCTCTGTTTATTGTTTTAAAAGAACCTACTGGAACATTTAGTCCAATAGTAAAAGAAACAATGTTTAAAGATAATAATATCTTTGTCATGGCATCAAAATCTGGAAAATTAACATCGCATCATTTTGAGATCTGGATAAAAGAAGTGTTTTTTCCAAATGTTGGACCAAAATCAGTGTTATTATTAGATTCTTGGACTGGTCATTGTCCTGATATAATTCAAAGAAACAAACCAGATTTTATAGACAATATTAATTTGTTAACTATACCAGCTGGAGCAACGGGAAAAATACAACCTTTAGATGTATTCGGTTTTCGTTTATGGAAAAATTTTGTTAGACATTTTTCAGATACCATCATGCTTTTAGATCTTGACGTCAAGCTTCATTCAAGAAACAATATTTTAAAATTACAATCATTAACACATAATCAATTTTCATCACCAAGGTTTAAAAATTTATTCAAATATGCATGGTATAAAAGTGGTTATTTAGAAAAGAAACCAGAAGAATTTGATACACCAGTAGATTTTTGTTTCAAAACTAATTTAAAACCAACATGTGATATTTGCGGTGAAATTGCTGTAATTTCTTGCGCATGGTGTAAAAAATCCCTTTGTATAAATCATTTCTTTCATGATCATCATCTTTGTAACCGATATCAACCATGAATATTTGTTATTCTTGTATGCAATAATTATGTACGGTATTTTATGTAATATTTCCATATACATATATATAATGACTTCGGAATACAACTTTATTATATATGATTGAATTTGTCGTTAAATGAGCTATAAGTTTTGTTATGAGACAAATTTAAAAATTTTCAAACATTAAAAGGGAGGGGGGGGGGATTTCGAAAAATATGACATTTTCGACAAATCTGATTACATGATTTTGAAGTACATTAAAGACCATAAAACTTTTATTTGAAACTTTTGTTTATATCTCTTATCGCTTCGACGGTATCCGCTGAGAAATGAAAAAATCGATTTTTTTCAAGAAGGTGTTTCACCCCCTTAACGGCCGACTCAGCACTTATAAAAAAATACGTGTCTCCTATTTTGATCTAGACTACAACATATTCAAAGCTCATTAAAATCGGAGGGGGACACTTCCGACCCTTTCCTTGTAAGAGTCAAAAAAATAGAAGAATAAAAAAAGAATATGACTCTTTATTGGAGATGCCTGGTAGTTCAAGTTGTGAGACTGAAAAAATAACTGTGAAGGAAGTGATAAAATCAAAAACTGATGGAGAATATGCGGATAATGTAAAATTATTAAATAATTTACAAGCAGTTATCACAAGTGAAAGTGATGATTGTAATAATGATGTAGTCAGCTCACATGGAATCAGATGTTAATGAAGAAACTTCAACAGAAAATAATACTTCAACAGATAATGATGAATTGTATGATATTCCACAAAGTAAGAAAACAATTGACTTGAAAGAACAGATGGCACGATGGATTTGCCATTATAATGTAACTCATACAGCAGCAGGAGCTCTATTAAAGGCATTTAATAAATTATTAGATGATGATGCAGGAGCACGTAATCAATATGTTAATAATTTTTAAATTCTATTTACTACTTGAAAAATTTGCTTCAGTTTCAACTATCATAAATTATTAAAATTTCTGGTTGTAATATATATCTAGCTATTTATTTACTATTTCTGTAGTACACACACACACATACACACGCGCGCGCACGCAGCTTTTATTTACATTCATTTGACATATCAAGAATTTTTTTCTAGAAATTTAACCAAAAATTTTGATTTAATTTATTTTAATTATTATTTACTTATTATTTTACTTATTATTCTACTTCTTCTAGTATGTTACTTAAACTATATTTTTTCAGAAAAAGATGATTCAGATCAGAGGTGGCAGAGATGTTAAGAAACATATCCGTCAAATACTAATCACCATATTAAACGACGATTTGGCATGCAAACTATCGTGGACAGGTCAAAAAAAAACGATCGGAGTCAAAGACATGAAATTTGTTGATGTTTTTGTAGGTAACTAAATTTCGAATCGGACCGATAATTTGTAATTCATATTAGCGTAACCAAGGCTGTGTAAATGAACGGAACAGTGAATGAACATCATTTAAATTTAAGGAAGTACAAAAGGAAGTGGTGCGAAAGTTTCTTTTACTTGACTGGTATGCATTAACGGTACCTCCTTAAGCATGTAATCAAAATTTTTCCTCATAACCACATGATGAAAATGGTTAATAACTACTTAAGTCGTCAATCTTTAAATATTAATTGCAATTTTTTAAATTTCTCCATTATTAAAAAATAAAAACTTTTATTGTTAACTGATTGGTTAAATCGTTTATTTACTAGCTTGGTCACTCTATCTTTTTTCATTAAAATCAATATTTAAAGGTGTTTACACAGCTTAATTATTATTTCAGAAGCCATGATCGCTTCGGAGGCTTGCACCATTCATGAGGTCCAGACAATAATACAAAGCTGGCTTCAGCATGCCGGTGATCGCGTTCGATACCATGAAAAAAAACACAATGCATAATTTATATTATATATATATATATATATATATATATATATATATAGAATAATATAAATTATATTATGTATTTTTATAAACATATATGTGATTATGCTTTACTTGTATTATTTATAAGGCATAATTTATATTTTCTTTATAAATTTATAAATCAACAAAAATCAAATAACTGAAATAAAACTTTTTTTAATACATATATATTGAAATAATAATATCATTTCCGAAACATCAATTCTCAAAAAAGCGTTCTTATTGTCGTCTTAAAGAAATCAGAAAAAAGAAGTCTTTAAGACATCTTTTTGAAGAAGTCTTACTTATTTCTTAAAGTGGCGCATTAGATTACTTTCTGAAGTCATTAAGTCTTCTTTCAGAAGATACATTCGGATGTCTAAATCTTACGTGAGAACTCTTTAAGAATTCTTTTAGAAGTCATATTGCTGTGTGGGTAATTTCTGCTTTTCGCTTTGAGATACAGTGACTAAATTAATATATTCTGTATGAAAACAAAAAAATATCATCGATTAATAACGGAATATTTTTATTGGTATTATGGTATTTATAAAATTTTACATTTACCTTCTCTTCCATATCTGAAAACAATTTTATCTTCCTAGTTTTCTTTTGCTTTAACACGCGTTACATTAAGAAGATTTATGTGTTAGAAAGTCGTTTATCTAAAACAGATTATTTTGATGATATTGAACAACAATATTTAATGATAAATTGATATCGCATCATAGTTATTTATATTATCATTAAATATTGTTGTTCATTTATATTACCATTATATATAAGCACATGCAATTTTTACCTCTTTGAGTTGATTCGTAGAATACACATGATTAATAATAACAGTAAATATTGCATACTCGCTGACTTGTCTATAACAATAAAAGATTAAATTTAGTGATACATATCTAAACTATTGAATGATAGATCTATATTTATAGTGAAAATTGTATTACTTAGGTTTTATATGCTCCAGATTGTGTAATATGAAATTGAGAGTTACAGGATTCCATGCATGCTTCGCGACAGTAAAAAGAAAATAATTAACATAATCTTTATCGGAAAAATCTTTTAAAAACTTAATCGATGTTGTATTGATAAATCAATTCTTGTAATCAATTGTCAATTGTCTCATCAATTGTCTCATCCAACTTTCCATCGGAAGAACATCAATCTTAGCATTAACATCCTATTAAATAATGGCTACTCTCTTCCGTTTATTTTCAAATACGTGTCCATTAGAATAAAAAAACTTCTTTTCACTAAATCTGATAACCATAATACGTTTAACTGTTCAATTGATGCCGATTCAGGGGATAAAAAATACATAGCGGTTCCTTATATAAAAGGTTTATCTGAAAGCGTCTGTAAAGTTTTTAACAACACTGAATATTCTACGGGTTTCAAATGTTTCAACCGCTTAAACTGTTTCATTAAGGTACACAAGGACGCCACTCCAAAATTAAAAGAAAATAATGTAGTTTATAGAATTGATTGCGACGCTTCTTACGTGGGACAGACAAAGAGACATCTTGAAATTAGATTGAGGGAGCACAAGAATAATGTTGGACAGCCTTTTAAACCATCGGTTATCACTGACCATATTATTAATGAAAATCACTCTATAGGATGGAATGAAATTAAAATACTGGACCATGAACCCCATTACTTTAAAAGATTGATTTCGGAAATGATTTTCATCAAAAAACAAAAAAATGGATTAAATAAAATTGAGGATTTATCAGCTTTAAATAATATGTATTTTCCATTATTAGATTCATTATGATGGTTTGTTTGTCTCGCATTGTACTTGTTGATCCTGATCTATTTATATTGCGGTGAGAATAATATATTGTCCCATTGTCTTACTGTCTACCGTTGCTGCAACAATGTTTTTAATTTTTAATACTAAGACTCGAGTCTGTGTGGAGGTTTCAAATTTTAGGAGATTTGGTAAGATTTTTTACAAATGATCTATTTTAATTGTAACGGTTTCCTTAAGTTTCACGCTATTTTTTTTTATTTAATCTTTTATGTTTCATGTATCTAATTTTCCGTATGTAATTTTTATCAGAAACCAAGCTGTCACACAACACATGTTGACTTTCTATATTCGAGATGCCATATTTTTGAATCTTAACACTTCGTGACTGAAGAGATGCAAGTAAGCATCGAAACGTCTTACTTTTTTGTCGCTCTCTTAATAAATGCGACTTATTGACATTCTTTTTTTACCTTTTTGTTTTTTTAACTGACCTATCATCCACAGTTTAGCTCGTATCAGACTGTTTATTGTATTTATGTTTCTTAATCGATGTTGTACTATCATTTCTTATTAGATTTAAATAGGCTTTGATAAATTGTGAATCCTCAGGGCAAGACAGATATTTTAAAAATTTAGTTTTAAATTTTTCTTTTCCCAGACGATATACTCTCCACCAAGAAGAATCTTCATTGCTAAGAGAATAGTCCGCTAATTTTAAACCTTGACAGTATTCTTCCCATTCTTTCCACCATGGCAAAAGTCTATGAGATTCAACAAAATACATATTCTGTTATAAAAGTTTTGCACATATTTATCTTATATTTTGATTTAATAATTTAACAAATTATAATTTTTAAACATAATCTAATAAAATTAAATTTTGACCAAATAATATAATAAACATTGCACATGTATCTACAAAACAATTAAATTAAAATAATCGAGAATATACAAAAAAAATTACATGTTGTTTTCGGTATCATTGAGATGTTGATTTAAATTATGATGGGCCATTTCTATGCATTTGCGACTATCAAGATTACATGCCCATTTCGCAGCCTCCATTCTTAAACTCTTTGTAAGATCGTGTTCATTAGAAATTTCATTGTATTTAAGATCGTCAAGCAAATGGTATAATAAATTTCGCATTTCTGCCTAAATATAAATGTATATATGTATTTATATGTATTTATATGTATTTATATTGTTACTTGATATAAGTGATATAAATTTTATATTTTTCGATTCTTGCATTATATTTTGCTATATAGAAAGATATTTTGCGCAATTGTATTTTACATATTTAAAAGGTTTATATATTAAGAACATTCTGTCTTTGTAAACAGCTCTGAATTCTTTTTATTATATAAAGATATCTTTCTATAAAGATATCTATTATATAGCTATACTTATATATATATATATATATATATATATATATATATATATATATATATACGTATTTACACACAAATTTGAATTTTTCTTGCGTGCACATTCACACATGCTTAACACATGTTCATATCACAAAATAAACATACAGAAGTGCATACATGCATATATTGTAGACATGTAGACATAAATGTAGACATTATATCTATAATATAATTTAATAACTTATTAAGTGTTTGGATATTAAACACACAGATAATTAATATATATGTTTCCTACTAACTTTCTATCTCAGAATTAATGATATTTAAATCGTCATTATAAATATCATGCTGTGATTAAAAATGATAACAATTTTCAAATTTTCGTCCCTTTTTTCTCAATTTTTTATGTTATTAGTACACTATTATTAATATTAATTTACAAATATACTTATTTTTCATCTAAAATATGTATATTTAAAATACTTAATCAAAATTTTTCTAGCTACATGTATTTTATTGTATGTATCTTTTTGGAAAGCACTTAATAATTATTGTTATAAATGCATACAATATTAATATGTGCAATAAGTAATACATTTCAAGCGTTTTAGTATATTCAATACATCACTGTTGACATTGTTTATAATATTTGTTGTTACCTTGATGTCAGAATACAGGGTATTTCATTTTAATCCGACCACCTAAATTTCTCGGAACCTAAGCAAGATAGAGAAAAATGTTTTAGACAAAAGTTGTATGGTTTCAAGGGGGACATAAGATGGTGTCATTAGTTTGATCTTGAAGTGCCACCTGAAAGACACGCGAAGGTCAGCTCCAACTTTTTAAATGGGACACCCTATATGCTTTTGCATATTCTTGTAGCTCATCTCAAGAGCTTTCCAAAACACTATAATTAAGTTAGTTTTCATTAAGTACTTTCCAAGTTATGAGGCTTGAAATCATTTTTTAATTTTACATAAACCGTAAAATATCTAGTAAATCATTCATTTTTCGATTATCTTACCTTGATACTTTTATGTACAAAATAATGAGAGGAATCAATTGGTGTAAAGAAAACACATAGTTGTTTCTAAGAAAAAATATGTAATTTGCAATTAACAATTCCAAGTCTGTTTCTCGTGATAGATATTTCGTATTATTCCAGAATACAGTGGAATTAAGTTGGTTTGATATCATTAAGTGGAAAGCATCATCGATAATTTGGGCACGATTAAGAACATGTATTTCTGTATAATTTTCAAAATTTAGATAACTTGCAATTCTTTGCCAGTTCTCGATATCGTAATTGACTCGATAATATCCTGTAAAATAAATAAATTGTATATATATATATATATATATATATATATATATAATTTTTTCAAAGGGTTTATTAGTACAAGTATCTGTTTATACTTTTGTACTTATACTTTTGTACATTAACAGAAATTAATAATGTATCATAAAGTAAACATAAATGAAAATGCAAATTATATATTATATTAATTATAAAATTATTTTGCATGAAAGTTAAATATTTTTAATAATTGTACGTATGTATGTATGTATATATAATAAATATAATGTATATAATACATAATATAATGAATAATATTTTTAATAACGTAAATATTTCTCTACAATGCGTATGTATGATAGACATTATAAAATGCAATAAATTTATTGCAAACTTACCAGTTTGTTTTAGATTAAATACTATAAATTTACCCATCTTATACTTATACTTCATAGCATGCGACGGATATATGTAATCATCCACAATCGTATTTAAATTTGTATTGTATAACTTTGATTTTATTCTTGGAGAATAATAATAAACTTGTACTTTCAAT